CTCTTCGCACACCAGCGGGCCTCGCGCTCACATTCAGGACTTGGGGGTTTAGGGTTTAGGGTTTTGGGGTTTAGGGTTTAGGGTTTTGGGGTTTCGGGTTTAGGGGGGAGTAAGGAAAGAAGGGAGAACTTTCCAATGAGGGGAACAAAGACCAAACTCCAGCAGAAGAGGCAAGCAGTTTTCAACAAAGCAATAAGGGAGCGAATGCAACGCCAGCCGCTAGAAATGACACAAAGGCAGACCGCAAGCAAGAAGGGCGCACAGAACAGTCACGCAGGCAGGCGTAAACCTTCTCAAGAACGACCTGGGTGTGAATCCCGTCCAGGGCCTCTACCATGTGTAACTCTACTCTCTGCATGGCGTCATGATATGCTATGATGATATCGACTGCTACTGCGCTACCACTGCCATGCTTTATTCGACCCTGTGCCAGTACTACTATCACGGCAACAGTGAATACGGCACTTGTGCAACTCAATCCCCTACAACCAACGACCCCCGACCCTCTAAACCCCCAAACCCCTGAATCCCTAAACTCCCAAACCAAACACACCAGATGCTCACAACCTTTGAGCTTGCGAAATACCAACCGCTCAAACAACAGCATGCTATCACAAGGAGTTTACAGAACACACGCAAACATGTTCGTCACGTCACGGCAACAGAGGTTGTTGAGACCCACTTCATTTTCTCCGCATACTCACGCAGCACGCATCACCAGCTTCTTCGAAAGCCCTAAAAACTAAACCCTAAACCCTAAACCCTAAACCCTAAGGATCAGATCGGTGACCCTTCCTGGCCTCCGCTGTCGCCTTGGCAAGTGTCCGTGACCCCACCGGCGGTATGGCCCGAAGCACAGAGCATGGACCTCGTGAAAGTTGGAGGCTTTGGGTTTAGTTTACTGACTGGGGTTTAGGGTTCAGGGTTTCGGGTTTAGGGTTTCGGGTTTAGGGTTTGGGGTTTCGGGTTCAGGGTTTGGGATTTAGGGTTTCGGGTTTCAAGGCTTTAAACTTCCAGTTGTGGGCTGCTGGGGTTCCTGGCAGCACTTTGTCCGCTCACGCCCGGAGACATGTAAAGGGGTACCCGAAACCCTAAACCCTAAACCCTACACCCTAAACCCTAAACCCTAAAGCTTCCGTGTGCTGTTGAAGTACTTCACAGGCCTGTCGTGGGGGCCCTAAACCCTGAAGGGTTTAGGGTTAGGCTTTGGGCTCGACTGGACAAGGGGGCTCCCAAGGGTTTAGGGTTTAGGGTGTGGCGTTTGGGGTTTCGGGTTAGGGTTTAGGGTTTAGGGTTTGGGGACCCTAAACCCTAAACCCTAAACCCGGTTACATCATGGAAGGGAAGAAGTTTCTGATTCTCAACTGCGGGCTCGGAAGGTGATGAAGAGCCCTAATCACCTCATCAAACGCCCTGAAACCCTGAGAGGCTCAAAGCCCCTTTACAGCCCGTGACAAAAGAAAGAGGGTTTACTGTAGGGTTTAGGGTTTAGGGTTTAGGGTTCAGGGTTGAGGGTTTAGGGTTTAGGGTTTAGGGTTTAGGGTTTAGGGTTTAGGGTTTAGGGTTTAGGGTTTAGGGTTTAGGGTTTAGGGTTTGCTGTGATAGGGCGTAGATGCTGTGAAGGTTAGGTTTTGGAACAAGCTCGAAAGCGTCGTGAGGTGCGAAGAGCAGCTTTGGCCCGATTGTGGAAGGCCATCTAACACTTTTCGCCCACCCCACGCCGTCCAAGGCGGCAAAGCCACCCAAACCTATTCCTTTTAGGGTTTAGGCCTAAACTCAAGCCAACTGCTTTCTTTACATAAAACTTCTTCATTCCGTCACGGCTTTTCACAAAAAACAAGCCTCCACAGAGGGAGAAGAACCACGGGCCCAGGCCAGGGTCAGTCTGGGCAGCCAGGGGCGGAGCAGAGGAAAAGCAAGGGGTCAGGGGGCTCAGTGAGGCTGGGGAGGGCAGGGGCGGGCAAGGGCAGAAGCGCAGAGGGGGGGCCGAGGGGCAGGGGGATCCCCCCACAAACCCCAAAAAGGGTCCAGGAGGGGCCGGGGCGAAAGGTGCAGGGGGGCCCAGGGGGGGTTCAGGCGGTCCAGGGGGGGCGGTCAGGGGGGTCAGGGGGGCCCAGGGGGGCCCAGCAGGGGGCCCAGGGAGGCCCAGAAAGGGGGAGGGCTTAGGGGGGTCCAGGGGCCCAGGGGGGCCAGGGGGCCCAGGGCGCCCAGGGGGGCCCAGGCGGGCCCAGAGGGCCCAGGGGGGCCCAGGGGGGCCCCAGGGGGGCCCCAGGGGGGCCCGGGGGGGCCCAGGGGGGCCCAGGGGGGCCCAGGGGGGCCCAGGGGGGCCCAGGGGGGCCCAGGGGGGCCCAGGGGTTTTGGGGGGTCAGGCCAGCAAAAAACCAAAAAAGCAGGTTTTTGAGCACCCGCCCTGCCTGGCCTGGCCTGAGGCCCCTGGTCCCTGGACACGCTGCGGTGAGGGGTCCGGGTCCTCCTGGCCTGGGGGCCTTGGGGTACCCCCCCCCGAAATGCCAGCCCCATCCAGGGTGAAGGGCTTGGGGTTTAGGGGACCAGTACTGGTCCCCGGGAGAACCTGCTCCGGTACCGGGCCCATCGTGGGTGCTACCGACCTCCTGGCTGCAGGAGGCGGGCAAGCGACCTGGGTCGACCTTCGCCATAGAGGTCGAAGGGCTTAAGCGCCGCCCCCCCTCTGTAGGGGGGCGGCCTAGGCCCTGAGTTTAGGGTTTAGGGTTTAGGGTTTAGGGTTTAGGGTTTAGGGTTTAGGGTTTAGGACAAACCCCCTGAACTCAATGGCACTTCGGAGGCTTAGTTTGGTCACGGGCAAGGCAGTTCTACATATAAGTCACAAAGGAACCCGACGCCAGAGCCGAGTAACCCTACACCCTAAACCCCAAACCCTCAACCCTCAACCCCACACCCTAAGGTCTAAACCCTAAACCCTAAACCCCAAACCCTAAACCCTAAACTGCAAACCCTAAACCCCAAACCCTAAACCCTAAACTGCAAACCCTAAACTGCAAACCCTAAACCATGCACCCAACCGGCACACCCGACCCCTACTCCCGAAGAGGGCCCTTTGCTTGAGGCCCCGACGCGGTGATCACGTCCTGCCCCCATCATCTATGGGTTGTTCAACAGGGTTTAGGGTTTAGGGTTTAGGGTTTAGGGTTTAGGGTTTAGGGTTTAGGGTTTAGGGTTTAGGGTTTAGGGTTTAGGGTTTAGGGTTTAGGGTTTAGGGTTTAGGGTCTCGGGTCTAGGGTCTAGGGCTTCGGGCTTCGGGCTTAGGGTTTAGGGTTTAGGGTTTAGGGTTTAGGGTTTCGGGTTTAGGGTTTAGGGTCAGCTGCAGGACACCACCTTTACGTCCCTCTGTAGAGAGACCCCCAACCCCTAAGCCTAAACCCCAAACCCGAAAACTTAGGGCAGAGGGCTGATGATAGGATGGACTCGGCCGCGAATCAACGGCCGAGCCCTTGAGGCCCCGGAACCCCAAACTCTGAAACCTGCGCAGGGTGTCGGGTGTCAGGTTTAGGGTTTAGGGTTTCAGGGTTTGGGCGGCTTGCGGTGCGCAGGACAGGCGTCAGGAGCTGGATACCCCCCCGAAGCCCTCAAAACACATAAAACCCGAACCGAACCCCGCAGCGTCCTGCGTCTTTGAGTAGTTCGTCTCGCAGACCTTGCCTTGGTCTTGCTTTAAACTAGAAGGAACTTCAGGGAGGGTTTAGGGTTTAGGGTCACTAGGGTTTAGGGTCACTAGGGTTTAGGGTTTAGAGTTTAGGGTTTAGGGCCTTCAGCCAAGGTGCTGCTGAGCAAGGTCACCGGCGCCTCCTGTGCCAAGTTGGGGGGGCCTGTAGGCCGGCTTTGAGGGTTTAGGGTTTAGGGTTTAGGGTTTGGGGTTTGGGGTTTGGGGTTTGGGGTTTAGGGTTTAGGGGGCTTTTAACAGTTCGGGTTTCGGCGGTTTTGGGATCAGCCGGGTATCTTGCCATCCTGGCGTACCAGGAAAATTTTGGTTTTAGAGAGACTGCACCAGGCATAGGAAAAAATAAGCCGCCCTAAACACCCCAAACCAGCGTTCAAGGCTTAGGATTTAAGGTTTAGGGTTTAGGCTTTAGGGTTTAGGGTTTGGGGTTTGGGGTTTGGGGTTTAGGGTTCAAGGCTTAGTGTCAAGGATTTGGGGTTCAAGGCTTTGGGCTCTTGGGCACGGGGCTTGCCATTTTGGGGCTTGGTGGAGGGATTCAGGAGTCATGAGGGGTGACCCGTGAACCCTAAACCCTAAACCCTAAACCCCAGAATCCCCTCTCTCCACCCCCGCTCTGATGCGGGGGGCCTGCGGTTGAGGGGTAGCTCTGGGAAGTTCCTGGTGTAGAAGCAGGGTGAGCAGCTCCTGAACCCCGATTCGAGACTCAAACCCTAAACCCCAAACCCTAAACCCTAAACCCCAAACCCCAAACCCCAAACCCTAAACCCTAAACCCCAAGCCCTAAACCCCAAACCCTAAACCCCAAACCCTAAACCCCAAACCCTCTCCTGCAGCACGTCGGGCGTGGGCCCGGAGGATCGGAGGGTTCCCCAGCCTGTGATCGAACCTGGGGGCGGCACCCCGATACCCTGCAGCCTACGCCCTTTCAAGCATCGGACGGGGGGTTTTGGGGTTTTGGGGTGTTAGGAGTAGAGTGACAAAGGTGTTGAGGCAGGGTTTTGGGGGGTTTGGGTGCCGGGGGGGGGGGGGGGAGTTTTGGGGTTGCTTTTTTGTGGGGAAGGTCTTGGGCGGGGGGCGTTGGGGATTTTGGGGTGTTAGGAGTAGAGTGATTTGGGGAACTTTGGGTTTTCTTTTGGCTTTCGGGTGTGTTCGGCTCTCAAAGCCCCAAAAAGCCTCAACCCCCAAAGCCAAGACCCCTAAACGTTTGACAAGTTCGAGAATTGAGACCGACGCACTTTTCTCGCTGTAAGCAGTTCCTAATCTTTACGCTTTAAACCCGAAAGATTTCTACGCCCTTACCGCTTCACTCCCTGAACTCCCTTAACTCCCTGTCAACCCCAAGCCCGATCGAAGGTGCATCTGGCCCTAAACCCTAAACTCCTTAACCCTAAACCCCGAACTCTGAACCCTTAACCCTGAACCCTGAACCCTCAACCGGGTGGCACTGCGTGCCCATCTCGCCCTCGGCCGTCGGCAAGCAAGCAATGCCGATGCACTCGTTCAGGGGCACTGCCTGTGTTTTCCACTCTTGAAGATTTAAAGGGGGTGCGTGCTTTTGTGGGTTGTAGGGTTTTGGTGTTCTACGGTTTTGTGGGTCTGGTTTTCTTGGCTTAGGGTTTTAGGGCTTTGGGCTTTGGTTGTTGGGTTTAGGGCTTGAGGGTTTTAGGGTCTTGAGGCTTTCGGGCTTTTGGGGTCTTAAGGCACTTTAGGGGTTTTAGGCTTTTAGGGTTCAGGGCTTCGGTTGGCCCAGGTCTTGGGGTCCAACGTCCAACGGCACAGCATGGCTTAGAGGAGTTTAGGGGTTGGGCCTTGACCTTTCTACATGTGCCCCAGCTTCCTAAGCCACCTGTCATTTGGGAGGAGACCACTACTAAGCAGGGGTTCCAGACACCAAAATTGCCCACAAACAAAAAACCCTTGCGGCTTGAAGCCTAAGGATGAAGGGCTTCGGGCTTCGGGTTCCCTAAATCTCTCCCTAAATCTCCAAACCCCCGCACAGGCAAAGCTCGAATGGTGCCAGGTCTTGGGCCGCGTGCTTCATGGGCTTGCTGGGTGGGGGCCGAACCTTGGGTCCCTAAACAACCCTCCAAGCCCCAGAACGGGTTTAGGGTTTAGGGTTTAGGGTTTAGGGTTTAGGGTTTAGGGTTTAGGGTTTAGGGTTTAGGGTTTAGGGTTTAGGGTTTAGGGTTTAGGGTTTAGGGTTTAGGGTTTAGGGTTTAGGGCGCAAAGCCCTGTAGAGTAAAAACCCCAGCAACCAGCTGATGGCTGCGCCGCCTTGTCCAGCTGCAGCAATGCGAAGTCGTAGTCGTTCTGGACGTTCTGCTCGTACCTCGGAGGTACTAGTCGGGCAAGTTGCTCGGCAACATCACCATGATGATCACCCTTAGAACCCTCTGCAACATCTTCCCAGGTACGATCCTCTTCAACCCAATGAGGGAAATAAGAAACATCCTAAGGGCCGACCCCTGCTGTAGGCTCTAGGTTTAGGGTTCAAGGAGTAGGCTGCTAGGCTTCCTTCGAGCTTGCGGGGTTTTGGCTGCCAAGACTTTAAGGTTTGCACCAGCGAACGCAACTCGAGTGATCCAATTTGTGGGGCAAACCGGGGCAAGACGACCTAGGCCCCTAAACCCTAAACCCCAAGCTCTAAACCCTGAATCCTAAACCCGAGACCCAGGAAAAATCCAAGCCCCACATGCCCCAAACCGGACCGGACCAAAATTCAGCCTTCCAACCCCCTCGTCAGCCCGGAAAAGGCACATCGGATGCACGAAAATCTTCTTGACGTAGCGCTCCACACCCATCCCAGTGCCCACTTCTGCCTGTGGTCGGCAGGAAGGGGATGAGGGATGGCCCTAAGCCCTGAAAACCCCCCAAGCCAACTTTCAAGTACTGAAAATGTGTCCCCTAAACCCCACACCCGAGCCCCTCTGGAACTAGGTACGCATACAGGCACTGAGGTTCGAGAAGGGGGGCATCGGGTGACATGCCTTGGGATGTTCCCCTCTGGAAGTAGGTGCGCATAGATATACGAACCGTCCTTAATGGGATAAAAATCGGCGGTGCTATGATCCCCATTAAGGACTGCTAGCATAAGGGTGAACATCCCTGTCCTTTATTATTGCAATCTTGAGGCGTTCCTAGCTTCTTGAGCTCGAAGCCGTAAGCTCTGAACTCTCCAAACCTAGACCCGAAGGCTCAGAAGCCCTGACTCCGCCCGCCCGCGCTTAAACTCCAAGCCCCTAAGCCCCTAGACACCTAATCCACCCCCACACCCCCCTAAAAAAATAGACAAACAGAATAGAAACGAAACCGCCTAAACCTAAACCCATAAAGGCCAAAAGAAGCCGAAACCCCCGAAGCAGCACAGGAGCCCTAAACCCCTTCAACCCAACCCCCCCGAAACCGAAACCCGACACCCGACACCCTGAACCCTAAGCCCTAAACCCTGAACCCTAAACCCTGAACCCTAAACCCTAAACCCTAAACCCTAAAAAAAAACAAAAAAGGGGGCCTGGAGGTTGCGTCCCCAGGTGCCAGCGCCGACCTTCAGGTCACGGACCTTACAGGCCTCGGGAAACTGACTTTCTGGCGTTTTAGGGAGTTTTGGGGGTTTAGGGTTTGGGGTTTGGGGTTTAGGGTTTAGGGTTTAGGGTTTGGGGTTTAGGGTTTAGGGTTTAGGGCTTAGGGCTCAGGGCTTAGGGTTTAGGGTTTTGGGGCGAGTTGGGGCATTTGGGGCGTTTGGGGCGTTCGGGGTTTCGGGCAGCTTTGGGGTTCAGGGCTTTGGGCGTCCAATACACGGGGTCGAAAGGTTGATAATCCACTTTCTTTTTTTTTACTATTATTATAATAGTTTTAATATCTTTTCTTTTATTATTAATATTATTATTATTATCATTATTATTATTGGGCTTCGGCTTTTTGGGGCTCGCCTCTAAATACGAAACTCTCAGGGTTTCGGGGTTTAGGGTTAGGCGCCAACAGGGCTTTGACCCCTAAAACCTAATTTTCAAGGCCTTTCCCCGAAACCTTATAGCCCGTCACCGTGAACCCTCAAAGCCCGTCAGCCCTTGAGCACCAGAGCCCCTAAAGCCCCAAACCCCAAGACCCTGAACACAAAGCGCCCCTTGAGTCTTAAACCTTGAACTGCACCGCAAAAGCCCTCAAAAATCTGAAGCTACACTACTCCCTGAACCCAGCCACCCCTAAACCTAAACCCTAAACACTAAACCCGAAACACCCTAAACCCTAAACCCAAAATTCTAAACCCTAATCCCTAATCCCTAAACCCTAAACCCTAAACCCTAAACCCTAAACCCTAAACCCTAAACCCCTAAACCCCTAAACCCCTAAACCCTAACCCCGAACCAGGGTGTGGGACAGCCCAAGCGGCGCTGCGGATGTCTGAGATGCAGTGCGCTGCTGTTAACCTCTTGGGCGAAGGGTGGACGAAGGGGGTTTAGGGTTCTAGTTTAGGGTTTAGGCTTAGGGTTTAGGGTTTTAGGCTTAGGGCTTAGGGTTTAGGGTTTAGGGTTTAGGGGTTACGGTTCTAAGGCTGGGGTTTAGGGTTTTGGGGGTCTAAGGCTGGGGCTTAGGGCCCTACGGACGCAGGGGTTCGGGCCCAGAGGCATCTCCTTCCCCCTGGGCCCCTAACACAGACACCACGCCAAAATGCACGCAAAAGGTTTGGGGATCCTTGAGGCCCCCCCTCCCTTCGCCTGCCGCGCGCCAAGGCGGCACGCGCAAGCGTTTTTACAACTAGAGTTCGACGTAAGCTACATGTTCCACTGCGTGGTCTGCTTAACCGGGGGTGTGATTTGGGGATCTTTGGGTTTAGGGCTTTCACAGTTCAAGGTTTAAGGTTTTGGGGCTGATTTAAGCTGTAGTCGAGGCCCCCCTACATCTCAAAGCGTTCGCCGAGAAGCACCCAACCCGGTGCGATCAGCGTGCCGCCGCAGAATTGGCCCACACTGTCTTCATTGATGCTCACCTCGGGTAGGGGCTCTGGGACGAAAACCAAAAACCCCCAAAGTTGAAATTAGGGTTCAAGGTTTAGGGTTTAGGGTTTAGGTTTAGGGTTTAGGGGTTCGGGTTTCGGGTTTAGGGTTTAGGGTTACAGGAGCCCGTAAGTTTCCAACACCTGGCCTGCCACCTCCACACGCACTGCCCCGCATCGTGACCGTGGACCTCAGCTTAGGGTTTAGGGTTTTAAGGGTTTTAGGGTTTAGGGTTTAGGGTTTAGGGTTTAGGGTTTAGGGTTTAGGGTTTAGGGTTTAGGGTTTAGGGTTTAGGGTTTAGGGTTTGGGGTTTAGGGTTTAGGGTTTAGGGTTTAGGAGTTTCCGAGCCCTCAACCCCTACACCCTAAACCCCTAAAGCCTACACCATGGGCGAACCTTACACCCTAAAACGCAAGCCAAGCCACCAGGGGCAGGAAGGCCAGTTCTGGGGCATCAGTCTGAGAATTGATTCAGGGTTTAGGGTTTAGTCGACGGGGATTGTCGGGCGTTGGAGGGCTTTTGGGGCCTTTTGGGGGCTTTGAAAGCTCCACAACCGGGGAGGTGGCTATGCACGACCTTTTCTCCGTAAATCCCAAACAAAACACCCCGAAATCTGAAGGGTTTAGGGCTTAGGGGCTTAGGGCTTAGGGGTGCCAAGGGTAGTCGCAAGGTCTCAGGTACAGGGCCTCCCAAGTCAAGGGGGGGGGGGGCGGGGGGGCGACGGAAGCCCTACAAAAGAAGACTGGTGGTGAGGATGAACTTAGGGTTCAGGGCTTAGTGTTTAGGGTTTAGGGTATAGGGTTCAGGGTTCAGGGCTTAAGGTTTAGGCTTTACGGTTTCGGGTTTAGGGTTTAGGGTAGACCCTGAACCCTAAACCCGGAAACCCCCAAACACCGTAAACCTGAAGATCTGAACCCTACTTGAAGCCCAAACACCTTCAACGCTACAATACCTAAACAACCCAAGCAACCTAAACTCCAACCTACCCTAGACCGTAAACTAAACCCTCGACTTAAACACTAAACCCTCAACCCTAAACCCGGAACCCTAAATCCTAAACCCTCAACCCTAAACCCTAAGAACCCTAAACCCTAAACCCTAAGAACCCTTAAAACCCTAAACCCACCTTTGCTTGCGCGAAGCGGCGATCTTGGTCTGCGGACCTGTAGGCTCCTGGCGTTTCTCCGGTCTCCCAATAACGCCACACTTCCTTGCAGAGGAACCGAGAGCTTTTGGGGTCCAGGGGGTCTGTCGGAGAGGTTAAGGGGCTTAAGGGGCTTAAGGGGTGTAAGGGGCTTAAGGGGTTTAAGGGGTTTTAAGGGGTTTAAGGGGGTCGAAGTGGCTTAAGGGGCTTAGGGTCTTATAGGGTCTTCTAGGGCGTTATCGGGCCTTGTAAGGCCTTGTAGGGTCTTAGGGCTTCAGGGTCTTACAGGATGTTCGGGTCTTAGGGTCTTACGGTTTACGGTTTGGGGTCTAGTGGCTTGGAGGAATCACACAAAAATACGTGCAGCAAGTAGGTACAAGAGGCATCCCTCCACATCAGTCATGTGAAGATTTCATGCTCTCCACCCGTAAACCCTAAACCCGAAACCCTCAACCCTAAACCCTAAACCCTGAACCCTGAATCCTTCCCGCCCTAAGCCGCCGCGCGTCTGATAGTCCGGCGTCGGCGCGCGTGCTCCTCGCAAACCGGCCTCCGCTCACTCGGTGCTGCACAAGGTTTAGGGTTTAGGGTTTAGGGTTTAGGGCTTAGGGTTTAGGGTTTAGGGTTTAGGGTTTTGGGTTTTGGGTTTTGGGTTTTGGGTTTTGGGTTTAGGGTGCGTAGGATTCATTAGTTTATATGGGCTTAAGGCGGCTTAAGGTTTCGGGCTTGGCGCTTAGGGTCCTGAACCCTCAAAACCCTGAACTCCTACAGAGCGTGCGGACTTGAGATGTTGTGGGTTTCGGTGGCAGAAAACACCTAAACCCCCAGAAACCCTGCAACACCCAACTCAAAAAACTGGGCTTCGGGTTTAGCGTTTCGGGTGCACTGGGCCCCAGAGAATGGGGCCCTCCCTGAACCCCAAACCCTAGACCCCCAACAGGATGCTTTGGCTGAGGCTAAGGGCCTCAGGGCTTTAGGAGGTTCAGGGCTTCAGTTGAAGCGTTTAAGGGTTTCATTGAGGGTGTAGGCGTGTCAGGGTTTGAGGGTTTTTCAGGGGCTTAAGGGCTTCGGCTTGCAGCGTTGAGAGTTTGCGGCTAGGGCTTGAAAGCCCTCCCTGCGTGCCTGTACGGGTGCCTCGTCGGCTCGCGCCAACCACAGCAGCGTCAAGAGTCGCAACGAAGGCGCCATTGCGAGGTTTAAGGGGCAGCCCCGAAAGGCTTGTTTTGGGTTTTGAGGTTTCGTGTTTAGAGTTGAGCCCACGCCTCGCTGTTTGCCTCTAGGGTAGCTGAGTAACACATGTGTTGATGCACCCTGGCTGTGCAGCTAACTCTGGTTTCTCTCTTCTCTTGCATGGCTGGATGCCGAATGACCGCTTTCTACCGCTGCCCCCTGTTTTGCCGAGGCAGAGTGAAACCCTAAACCCTAAACCCTAAACCCTAACTCAGCGATCCCTGCACTCCCCACACCCTCAAACCCCCCAAACCCCCAAACCATGCCATACTCCAAACCCCTCAAACCCCTCAAACCCCTCAAACCCCAAACCCTAAACCCTAAACCCTAAACCCTAAACCCTAAATAGGAACTACGGCTTCGGGACTGCCCCTAAACCATCATCCCTACATCGCCTAAAGCCCCAAAACCTTTTCCATCTCTGCAACCCCTCAAGCCCTGAACCCTCTACGCCCCTGAGAAGCCTCAAGGATCAGCGTCCCCTGAAGGCTTCTCCTGCCCTAAACCCTAAACCCTAAACTGAGTGAGCCCGGGGCCGTCGAGCAGGGCGGCAGGCGAGGCCGCTCCGGAGCCAGAAGCCCTCCGGCAGGCGACGGAGCTCCAGTCCCGCAGCTGTGCGGTGGACCCCTAAACCCGAAACCCTAAACCCTAAACCCTAAACCCTAAACCCCAAACCCCAAACCCCAAACCCCAAACCCCAACCACACCACCCCACAGGGCCCAAACCACAATGGGCGCGGACCCTAAACCCTAAACCCTAAACCCTAAAGCCTAGCAACCTCCCTGCCTGGGAGGCCCCTGCCTGGGAGAGGCCCCTGCCTGCCTGGGACAGGGGCCTGGTGGGAGGCCCCTGCCTCAGGAGGGGCCCCTGTGTGGGAGGCCCCTTGCCTGGGAGGCCCCTGCCTGGGGCCCCTGCCTGGGCTGCCTGGGAGGATGGGAGGCCCGCCTGGGAGGCCCCAGCCTGGGAGGATGGGAGGCCTGGGAGGCCCTGCCTGGGAGGCCCTGCCTGGGGAGGCTTTTGCCTGCGAGGCCCCTGCCTGGGAGGCCTAAAAGACCCCTGTGTGGGAGGCCCCTATGTGGGAGGCCCCTTTGTGGGAGGCCCCTGCCTGGGCCCCTGCCTAAAAGACCCTTGCCTGGGAACTCCCCTTTATTCGGAGGTCGGGAGCCCCTTGCCTAGAGGCCCCTGCTCCCCTGTTTGGGAGGCCTGCCTGGAAGGCCCTGCCTGGGAGCCCCTGCCTGGGAGCCCTGGCTCTGGCCTTGGCTTTGGTCTGAGGATTTTTGCAAGGGATCCAGATCCCCACAGGACGCAGCATGCAAGGGCGAAGGCGGCAGCCAGCCCCAAGCCCAAACCTTCGGGTTTTTAAGTTTTAGAAAAACTTGCTGGGAGGCTGTGGCCCTGCCTGGGACTGGATCTGCTTACCCTGCCTGAAAAACAGGCCTTGGCCTGAGGTGCCTGGCCCTTTCAAGCTAGGGATCCAGATCCCCAACAAGACGCAGCATCACCAACTCCGAAGGCGGCAGCCAGCCCCAAGCCCAAACCTTTGGGTTTTTCACTTTTAAAATGATTCACAAGGCCACCACGACTCCAACAAGGTCCAGCTGCAGCATCAGCGAAAGCGAAGGCAGCAGCAACCGCCCATCCCACCCCTTTGACTTCAGGGCACGAAGGCGGCAGCCAACCCAATCCCAAACCTCTGACTTTTTGGCCCTCCCAGAAGCCCTCGAATGAGGCAAACTTCTGATTCACGCCCTTCCAAGCAAGTTTTCCAACCCCCGCCCAACACGCAGCATCACAGAGGGCGAAGGCGGCAGCCAACCCCAAGCCCAAACCTCTGACTTTTGGCTCTCCCAGCAGCCCTCGACTGATAGACATCTCCCTTGCAATGCCTAGGGGCTGCGAGCTTCAGGGTAGTTAATCGGCATCGATGCCGAGCTTCTAAACCCAACCAATAGACAAGAGAAAAATAACAAAGCACGATCAGAGTTCAAAAGAACCCTAAACCCGTAGAGGTTAAGGCGAGGGTGGAGCGCCAGCGGGGGTGGGCTTATGCAACTCGGGGCGCGCGCCTGGGTGCTTTCAGCACCAGCGCGCCCACTCATTGAGACACCCTAAACCCTAAACCCCAAACCCTAAACCCTAAACCCTAAACCCTAAACCCTAAACTTAAACCCCCTCAAAAGAAAAAGATCATCTGTCCTCTGGGGGCCCTGGAGCGAGCCTGGGCTCTCCTCTCCTAAGAGGTCGAAAAGGCGCTGCTGCTTGGCGTCCTGGGTTTAGGGTTTAGGGTTTGGGTCTTGGGGTTTGGGGTCTTGGGGTTTGGGGTTTAGGGTTTAGGGTTTGGGGTTTAGCTGTTTCGGGGGTTCGGGGTTTCGGGGTACGGGGGGGCTTGGGGTTTGGGGCTTCTAGGGTTTTGGAGCTCCTCCAGGGGGTCTTGGGCTTGAGGGTCCTGGGATGCGCTGTAAGTTTTTCCTAATGTAAGTTTTTCCTGAAACGAAGGATCCTTGAATTGGGATTAGAAGAGCGGGGGTACTAGAATCCCGATTAAGGGCTGTTAGAATCTTTCCTAAAAACATCCCAACTCATGGGTCTCCAGGCTTGAGGCCAGTGAGGGCACGGCCACGGCGGGATCACTCAGGGTCAATGATTTAGGGACGTCTTGGCTAGGTTGCAGCATAGAACTTCAAAACCGCATGTATTGTGCTGCAGGGCAGCGAGCCTTATGGGGGTTCAGGGTCAACTCGTAGCCCCCCCCCCCCTCTGCCCTCCAGGCCCCGAAGCCCAACCCCAAGCCCGAACACCCCAAACCCTGCACCCTGTGTCCTTCCCGGAGCCCTCACCCCCCCCCGCCCAACCCCGAAACTGTTGAAACAAAAACAAGAACAAACCTCATCCCACCGGGGGAGGGGGTCCTCCGTTTGCGGCTCCTGCATTCGGCCTCGCATCTTGCCCCCGTGGGCTACCCGGTAACCACGGAAAGTTTTTTCGTCGTAGGGCTGACGGTTTGCTGTCCTGTGCTATATCTATATCTATATCTATATCTATATATATATATATATATATACTTGCTTGCCAACACAAGGTACGCATTCCTCCTCCCGCCAAAAAAAACGACACATCTTCAGCACGCTCCGAAGTCTTACGGAGGGCTTTTGAGGGGATACTGCCAGAGTTGAGGGGTCAGCGGTCTGTTGTTGAGGAGTTGCGGGGATCTCCGGTTCCGGGGTTTATGGTCCAGGGTCGTTCGGGGTTGCGGGGGTTTAGGGCCTCAGGGGGGAAACTTCTCAGCCAAAGGGCTTCGACGATCTTTCCCCAAACGCTGAACCCGCAAAGCTTCACCCGTAAACCCTCAACCGCTCTGTGACGGAGTCTGCTAGGCACCTCTGCCAAACTCCCGCGGCATCGCTGGCCTCTGCAGAGATGCAGTTTTTCGGGGGCTTTGGGGGGTCTGGGGGGTCTGGGGGGTTGGGGGGTTTGGGGGGTTGGGGGGTTTGGGGGGGTTGGGGGGTTTGGGGGGGTTGGGGGGGGGGTTTGGGGGGGTTGGGGGGTTGGGGGTTTGGGGGGTTTGGGGGGTTTGGGGGGTTTGGGGGTTTGGGGTTTGGGGGGTTTTGGGAGGTTGGGGGGTTGGGGGTTTGGGGGGTTGGGGGGTTGGGGGTTTGGGGGTTGGGGGGGTTTGGGGGGTTGGGGGGTGAGGTTTGGGGGGTTTGGGGGGTGAGGGGGGTTAGGGGGGTTAGGGGGTTTAGGGGGTTTGGGGGGTTTGGGGGGGTTTGGGGGGTTTGGGGGTTTGGGGGGTTGGGGGGTTTGGGGGGTTTGGGGGGTTTGGGGGGGTTTGGGGGGTTGGGGGGTTTGGGGGGTTTGGGGGGTTTGGGGGGTTTGGGGGGTTTGGGGGGTTTGGGGGGTTTGGGGGGTTTGGGGGTTTGGGGGGTTTGGGGGGTTTGGGGGGTATGGGGGGTTTGGGGGGTTTGGGGGGTGGGGGGTTTGGGGGGTTTGGGGGGTTTGGGGGGTTTGGGGGGTTTGGGGGTTTGGGGGGTTTGGTGGGTTTGGGGGGTTTGGGGGGGTTTGGGGGGTTTGGGGGGTTTGGGGGGATAAACCCGAAACTTAAGGGTTTGGGGGGCTGAAGGTGTTGAGCGTTTAAGTGGTGAGGCCAGAAACTCCTCCCCAACAACCCCACAATATCTACGCGACCCCAACCCGTCAACTCCAGACATCGTCAAACCATTCAGGTTTGCGGTTTAGGGTTTGGGGTTTCGGGTTTAGGGTTCAGTCCCAAACCTCAATAAAGGGCCCTAAAGGCCCCGAAGCCTCCAAGAGGCCTTCAACCTAACCTCCCAAAGACCCCGGAACCCTGAAACCCTCAACCCTAAAAGCCCTTCACCCCTGAGCGCCCCACATGAAGCCCCTCTAGGGTTTAGGGCTTCGGGGTTCAAGGTTCAGGGTTTAGTGTTTAGGGTTTCGGGTTTAGGGTTTAGGGTTTAGGGTTTAGGGTTTAGGGTTCAGGGTTCAGGGTTTAGGGTAAACCCTCAAGAGGCAGCTCACCTGGCGAAGGGAGGTGCCACCGGCTCGAAAGGGGGCTGCCAGAGGCCTTGGGTTACTGTTAGGGTTTAGGGTTTAGGGTTTAGGGTTTCGGGTTTAGGGTTTAGGGTTTCGGGTTTAGGGTTTAGGGTTTAGGGTTTAGGGTTTAGGGTTTAGGGTTTAGGGTTTAGGGTTTAGGGCTCAAGGATGTTTGGGGTTCAGGGTTTGGGGTTTGGAGTTTCGGGTTTGGGGTTCGGGCTGGGGGGGGTTTTGGGGTCTATTGCTACCAAGCCCTCAGCCCTGAACGGTGGACCCTGAACCCTAAACCCTAAATCCCGAATAGCACGAGCTAACGTCAAGTTGGACACCCAGGACTCCGAGTCTTCGAGGGGCCTTCATGGGGCCGGGAATGGTTTAAGAACTTGTTTTGTGAGAAGGTTCAGGGTTTAGGGAACCTGCAGCCTCTGCTGCATGCCAGGGAGTTGGGGCTTAGGGTCTTCAGAGGGCTCACAAGGCCGAGCGGCAAGCTGACTCAAGCTCCACTTTTTGTTCCCCCCCCCCCCCTCCACGCCGGCGAAACCTGCGGGCGCAGTGCGCTTCTCAGGCATCTCCCGCCCGCAAACACGCGCAGCACCTTACGGTCCTCTGCTCGCGCTTCACTGATTCACCCCTGCAGTCCCGAAAACCCTAACCCTAGTTTTGCGTTTAGGGGTTAAGGTTTATGTAGGGGTTAGGGATATTTCACTTCAAGCACCCCGGCAAATTTCCCAAACACCTAAACAGCCGGCTGTTCCCTCCTTTCCCCTAAACCCCAAACTCTGAAAACCCCCTAAACCCCGAACTCTAAAGATTCAAGAAACACTGGCCCTGACCAGTTCGTGCGCTCGCGGGAACTATGGAGATGCCCAAAGGCTATAACGTGGCCATGGGCCCTGGAGCGTCTGTTGGGTTCAAGAGGTTCCCCCTATCATGCCTTCCAAAAGCATCTTAGGGGGTATCGAATATCCGACTTCCCTAAACCCCAAACCCTAAAGCCCGAAGAACCCGCGAGCTTGGGCTTTTAGGGGCCTTTGCAAGCCTCCACATCGGCTCCGTTCCCATCGGCACGCAGCTAGCTAAGCTTTCCCTGGCTCGGGTTTCTGGTTGCCACACCCCTCAACTCAACCGACTGTTGAAGGGGCTTAGGGTTTAGGCTTAGGGTTTAGGGTGTAGGGTTTATGGGGGCCTGGCTGCGGGGTTGAGGGACCCTCAACCCTGCGCTCATAGGGGCCGCAACCACAACTCCAGCAGGGTTGAAGGTTCAGGAGTCAAAGCCAACCCTTGTCGTCCAACATTTTCGCCCCAACAAGACAACAACAAACCGGACAATGTGGCATAGAGAAAGAAGCCCTTGGCACCCGGGACCTCTTGAACCCGAGATCCCTCCTAGAGCCCTAGAGAGCGCCAGACCCGCCCCACAAACCCAAGCCAGGGTGCATCCTAACGCAGCAACGGTCACCGTCAAAGGCAGAGGGAGGCAGCGGGCCCTGCACCCGAAACCCCCCTTAGTTTCACCCGAACGTCTCTAGCCAAACGTTGCTGCTGTCGGCCTGCGCCTGCTTTCCGGGCCAATAGCAGCACATCTTGCCCAAGTCTGTCCAGGGAGTAATCGAGCATCAGAACGGTAACAAAGCAATCCCAAACTTTCACGCAGTTTAAGCACCAGCGCGGGGGCCTTTGGCCTGAACTCAACCCCCCCAAGCCCTCAAGCCCTACCCCCCCCCCATTGGACGGAAGCTAAACGATGCGAAAAAAGGGCAAAGCCTGCTTCGCAGGTGCCGGAAGTCGAACTCAGGGCACCCAAGCACACAAAGGTCTAGAGTTTAGGGTTTAGGGTTTGGGCTTCGGGTTTCGGGTTTCGGGTTTCGGGTTTAGGGTTTGGGTTTGGGGTTTGGGGTTTAGGGTTTGGGGTTTGGGGCTTGGGGCTTAGGGTTACAAGTTCTTTAGAGTTTAGAACCCTCAACTTAACCCGGAGCCCCAATGGTCTGAAGTAACTAGCAAAAATCTGGGTGTGAATCCTAAACCATACATTGCCCTCACCCAAACCTCTTTCCCTACCTGTAAACCCTAAAGCCCCCTCAACCCCTCAACCCTAAACCCCTAAATCCCTAAACCCTAGATTCTTGGCTTTGCGATGCCTTGGTGCCTTGAGGGCCCCTAGATGTCCATGGCTATCAGCGGCGGCATACGAGGAGCAGGCGATCCGGGTGCCTGCTGGAGCGACACATGGGGTACAGGGTTTGGGGTTTACGGTTTAGGGCTAAGGGGTTTAGGGTTTAGGGTTTAGGCTTAGGGTTTAGGGTTTAGGGTTAGGGTTTAGGGTTTAGGGTTTAGGGTTTAGGGTTTAGGGTTTAGGGTTTAGGGTTTAGGGTTTAGGGTTTAGGGTCTAGGGTCTAGGGTCTAGGGTTTAGGGTTTAGGGTTTAGGGTTTAGGGTTTAGGGTTTAGGGTTTAGGGTTTAGGGTTTAGGGTTTAGGGTTTAGGGTTTAGGGTTTAGGGTTTAGGGTTTAGGGTTTAGGGTTTAGGGTTTAGGGTTTAGGGTTTAGGGTTTAGGGTTTAGGGTTTAGGGTTTAGGGCGTGCCAGACAGGAGCGCGCTTTGGGAGCGCGCGGTAGTCTGCAGACCTACCCACCCCAAGACCGCCCACTTACAACTCTCAAGGAGACAAAGTTGTAGCAAACGGAAGCGAGGCAGGACAGATTGGGTTGGCGCGAAGGGCTAAAGCCAGAGGGAGAGCGCCCCGAAACAGGACACAAACTGGAGCGCGGACAGCTTGGTTGGCGCAAGGGGGTAAGATGACTCGAACAGGCCAGAGGCCAAGGCCAGGCCGCAATAGTCAGGGCAGAGGGTCGGTGGGGGTCAGGATCAGGGTCAGGCCAGGGCAAGGGCCAGGACCAGGGCCACCAGGAAAGGCAGGCCAGTGGGCCAGGGCAGGGCCAGGGCCAGGGCAGGGCCAGGGCCAACAGGGCCAGGGCCAGGGCCAGGGCCAGGGCCAGGGCCAGGGGGCCAAGGCGGCGAGGGCCAGGGCCAGGGCCAGGCAGGGCCAGGGCCAGGGCCAGGGCCCTGCCCCAACAAAACGCCCCCTGCTCCCCTCAAAACGGGCGTGAGGGACCAGGGGTCTCAAGGGGCCGTCCCAGGAGGCCCTCCAATGCAGACCCAACGGGTGCGCGGACAGGTTGGGGTTTAGGGTAATATAATATAATACAGTGACAACTGCTGACTCGGCCTGTGCCTGCCTGGAGGGTAAGCCAGCCTGGAGGCCAGCTCGGTCGCCCGCCTGGGGCTCCCTCGCAGGGTCTCACTGAGCGCTCGACCAGCGCCCGCCTACCCCAAAAGACAAGAGAGTGGGGTGGCGGGCGGGTTTTGGGTTTAGGGTTTAGGGTTTAGGGTTTAGGGTTTAGGGTTTAGGGTTTAGGGTTTAGGGTTTAGGGTTTAGGGTTTAGGGTTTAGGGTTTAGGGTTTAGGGCGCGCGTGGAAAGCCAGGGTTTCGGGCAGGTTGGGAAAGTGTGGTCATAAGCATGGCAACTACGGCTACAACACGAGTCATGGCACAAAAGAGCCCTGCACCCCCCCCCTTCCCCCAGCCGCGCCGGCGCACGACAGAAGACCGGCGAGGTCTTCGGGTCCTTCTGCTGCAAAACTTAAAGGCTTCTAGGGGTTGAGGGTTGTAGGGCCTGCAGGGTTTTTTGGGTTGGGGGTCTGGGTCCATGTACCAGGCAATTAGGGAGCGTTGAGTGTCCTAATGATGCGGGGTTGAGGACACTCTAAACCTTAAATCCTACAATCCCAGGAGTGCTGTGGGGTGATGTAGTTCTAATTGTCGTTGGTTACTCTAGGGGCCGTGATGAAGACCTCGCGCTCCTGGGGGGACTTCTGTTGCCCGAATATCCTAAACACTAAGTCCGACAGTCAAAAACCAACAACCCCAAACCGTGAACCCTCAACCCCCCAACCCCAAACCCTAAACCCGAAGAACGAACTCCGAAACCTTGCGCCGCTCCGCTGGTCCTTCCACGCGGGCTTGTCTTGCAGCTTTCGGTTCGTGAACCTCGCGATTGCTGGGCTTAGCTGGTTTAGGGGGAAAAAAGGGCGGTTCCGCAAGTATGTCCGCAAAAACTACCGTAATCCTTAATCCTTGTGAGAGGAACCCCCCAAGACGGGTGCCCCCTACGTTTTGGGAAACCCTATACACAATGATACATGCAAGGTCCGACCTTGTTTGAGTGGGGCAGCCTCGAGACTGCATCCCAACTTAGAGGGTCTCTTACTTGATGGGGCTTGAAGGTCCGCAGCCGAGGGGTTCAACCTCCTGGTCCCTCAACCCTAGGGATGCCAGGAGGGGGTTTAGGGTTTAGGGTTTAGGGTTTAGGGTTTAGGGTTTAGGGTTTAGGGTTTAGGGTTTAGGGTTTAGGGTTTAGGGTTTAGGGTTTAGGGAACCCTGGAAGGGCCCTAAACCCTCAACCCCCAAGCCCGACACCTGAAACCCAGCCCTTCTGCCCGAGCTTCCGTCCCAAGCCCATCACCGGAAAGCGGCGCTGGGGCAGTGCGGCCCTGCGCCAAGGTTTGGGGTTTAGGGTTTGGGGTTTAGGGCTGAGGGTTTAGGGCTTAGGGTTTAGGGGGCTTTGGGCATTGGGTCTCGGGTTTGGGGGGTTCAGGGCTTCGAGGCCCAAGGGAAGCTTCCGAGTGCTTGGGTTTCGCGGCCCAACTCTCTCCGAAAACCGCCCGCCCTAAGCCCCCAAAACGGGGAACTGCCGCCCAAAATTGGGAGTTTGCGGACTGTGGAAGTGAATACTTTAGTGGTCTTTTTGGGGTGCGGGGCGGGGGCGGGGGGGGGGTATGGTCTAGGCCACACTCAGTAACCATGGAGTTTTATGGTTTTATGCGGCAGGTGAGCACGCGAGGGTGCAGGTCAAGCTTTCAGGCTAAGTGGGCGCTTGAACGCAGGATTCAGGGCTTTCACTTAAGGCTTAAACCCTCGGCCCCCTGCTTCTGAGGCCCGCAGGGCTTCGAGACGTTACGTCTGCAACACGGCCGTAGAAGCGAAGGGTCGTAGTTTAGGGTCTTGGGGGTTCTAGGGTTCGAAGGCTCTAGCTTTTGCAGGAATCTTGGGTTTGTTTCGGGTGTGGAAAATATCACAGCGCCGACCTGAAACCCTGAAAAGCCTACGCCCTCTGGATGGACCCCGCCCCACAACAAGCCCATCCCGTCCTGGAAGCATCCCACTCACTCAGGTGCGGCTCGGGCAATGGAATCATCGGGGCCAGTTCTCCTCAGGGGTTTGGGGTTTTTTGGGCTTTTGGGCTTTTTGGGGTTTAGGGCTTAGGGTTCAAAGTTTAAGGGGAAGGAGGGAGCCCTACCTATGGGGATAAGGTCGGGCATGAGGTGTCGCAGTGCCTACGTCCAGGGCTAAGGGTTTGGGGTTCAGGGTTCAGCATATCCCTAAACCCAAAACCCAATTGAACTCGAGATGGAAACAGTCGCCAAGCCACGCGGGCTTCTGATCTTCGCATTCGGCGCCTGGTCCAGAAAAATCCAGGCTGTTTTAGTTTTAGCTTCGGGCATCTGGCTACGCGGGTCTAGAATGTGCAGCCCCGTTCTAGGCATTCTAATTGCATGCAGGTTTCGTCTGCACAAAACGGGGAAACTGCAAAGCCTTGAACGTCAACAGGGTTTTGGTCCTAAACTAGCTCCCAACTGACCATACCCCCCTTCACCTTCCTTTTCCCGTTCGTCAAAGGCCAAGGCCTTCAAGTGACTCATTTTGCTGGCGCGTGCAGCGCTTGTGCGAACAGCGCAGCATAGCGCAGCCAAGGTTGCTGGCATGGAGTCCCGGCCTTGTGTTCCCTGTGATGTCGACCGCACATTCTCGGGGGATTCACCGAGCGATTTGCTTTCAGTTCTTGACTCGTTTTCACCATGAAAGCATCATGAAGTCCTTAATGGTTAGCCTCGGAGACTTCTTGAAGAAGACTCGCTTCGCAGAGTAGCCCGTGCCCACAGCGCTAATACTGGAGCCGAAGCTTCATGAAGTAAACGCCCACGAACCCAGAGGGTGCACGCTGTGGACCTACCAGGGTTTGTGGGGCTTAGGGCTTTAGGTTTGCCGCCCCCAAACAACAAAATCTCACTGTTCCGGTCACAAAATAGGCGTCAGCTGCAGTGCACCGGGCGCCCTTCCTCTGGAAGATTGAGAGTCTCTGAACCCCAAGCGACAAACTCCAAGACACCCCCCAAACCCTACACCCGAAGTTCTGAACCCCACACCCTGAACCTAAAACCCAAAACTCTCACCCTAAACCCCAAACCCTAAACCCTAAACCCTAAATCCTGGACCCTCGAATCGGGCCTCGAGGCGCTTGCGGGGCGGCGCCCGCCGCAGCGGCAGGTGCAGGCGCCTTGCGACCTGCTTGGGGGGGGGGGAGTTTAGGGTTTAGGGTTTAGGGTTTAGGGTTTAGGGTTTAGGGTTTAGGGTTTAGGGTTTAGGGTTTAGGGTTTAGGGCTGAGGGTTTAGGGTGAGAAAAGGCGGAAGAGAAATTCAGCAGGATTTGGGGTTTGGGGGTGTAAGGTGCAGGGGCTTGGGGCTATTCAGGGTTGCGTAGCGGTTGGGGTTTGGCGTGTTAGGGTTCAAGATAAAGGGTTTAGGCTTGAGGTTTAGGGTTTCAGGTTTAGGGTTCAGGATGTGGGGGGTTGTAGGACATACTTGGGGTTTAGGTGTTGCGGGCTATGTAGATCTTGTGCTCAGGACTTAGTGCTTTGGGCTTACAGACAGTTAGGGTTTGAGAGTTTCGGGTTTTGGGCTTTGGGATGTTTAGGGCTTAGGGCCTGTTTTGGGCAATGGATAGCGCAACAGGATTCAGAGAGAGGACCTGCAGGTAGGATTTTGGGGTCTCGGGCTTAAGGCATTGCAGCATAGGGATTGGTAGGGTTTCGGGTTCACGGCTGATCTTTCCCCATCCCACCCGATCGCAGACGAACATGAAACCTACGCTCTCTCTGGGGCAGAGCAACATCGAGGCCACTAGTGTGCTCTTGGATCTGACGAAGGGTTGCTTGGTGGCTTAGGGGTGCGGGGGTTCAACCCGTAACCCCTAAACTTTCCCTAAATTCTAAGCTTCAAATCCAAAAGCCTAAACCCTAAACTTTCCAAGAGGCTTAGCGGTGTTGTGGCTTAGGCTTGAGGGTGTTGGGGGTCTTGGGTTTAAACAACTCCCCAGAACCATGGAGACTCAAAAAGCACAGACAAGAGAAAAAACAATCGCCGCACCTAAACACTTGAACCCCCAATCCTCAAAGCCCAAGACACAAAGCCTCAAACCCTAGCCCTAAACCCTAAACCCTAAACCCCAAACCCTAAACCCTAACCCTAGGCGTCTCGGCTAACAGTCCGCCGCACGCTACCATGGTGGGTTTTTTGCATGCTCTGCTTTACGCCGCATGGTGTAGTAACAGGGTTTCACATTCTCCATGTTGTCACTTCGTTTTTTCCGGAGCGGAAGCCTCAAGGGCTACTCCGCCGGCAACGGACGCCTTAAGGGCTGGTCCTAAAGCCGTTGCAGCAATGGCCGAGCAGCGCACGGCGGAGGAAATCAGCCGTGTTAACCAGCAGTACCACGAGCAGTCGCAGCTCACATCCTCCCCGGCCTACTCCGCCAGCCAACAGCTTTGGTTCGAAGCACGGAGGGTGGCGAAACGTGGGCCGCCCACTCCGGCCTTTTCTTCTACGGGGTTGGCCACCCCGTCCGGATCGGTTGGTGGCACTGGTAATGGTGGTGATTCCGGCGCAGCAGCCTCTACCACTCCGCAGACTGGCCTCTTCCAGCCCATCACCTTGGAGGCAGAGTCCGCGATCATGGCCACAGCGTACTCCGCCGGCATCAACGCCAGAGAGCCGGCGCAGCTCCAACAGTGGATGGCGCAACCACTCCGCACTCGTGGAGAGGTCCTGGAGACAATCCGCCAGGACCACACCGCAGTTATACGCCCAGAGCTGTATAACTTGGTGACGCAGGTTGAGCAAGCCCTGGCGCAGATCGACGACAGAGTAATCCGCCAGTCTCAGGACCTGCAGTGGATGGTATCAGAGAACAGGCAGAGTCAACGCCAGTACTCCGCCCTTTCCGTTATTCTCACTGGTTGGGATGGCTCTATGTCCCCGGAGCAACGGCTCTACATGGTCAACTGGCTCCTCAGTCAGGTCACGCACTTCCAGGCGTTCCTGAGGCAAAGGGGCTACAGACTGGACGCGGGCGATGCCGAGTACATCTACCTCAACTGCCTGTCCGCAGACCCAACCACTCCGCCAGCAGGCACTGGTCGCTGGAGCGGGATCACCATGTTGGCTTTCAAGTCATGGGACCTAAGGCGCGCCTTCATGGCGGATCGCAGGGAGTGCCTCTGTACAGGGACTCCCACACACCAATCCGCCAGCACCACATTCGCGCCACGCCAAGTTCGCCACAGTTCCAGAGGAAAATGGAGCTACCACTCCGCGTGATTTTGGCCGCCATCAACCTTTTGCCGGACACCGAGCCGAAGCAGGTGGTGATTCTCTGGAAAACCCTGACGATAATGGCGCCGCAGCAGTCCAGGCAGTTTGACGAGCAGATCGTGGCGGCAGCCCGCCTTCACTACCACACCGCCGACGGCAAGCTGCAAGGAATCCTGGAGGTGACGCAGGCCACCTTCGACATCCTGCAGGCTACTCCGCCAGACGAGGCAATGTCCGACGAGGCTTCGGTCTGGCAGCACTGCTGGAACAAGATCGCGTTCGGCCCGCAGCACTACCTGGACGTTGCTGAAAGCGAATTGTTTAAGCAGGCGGCGACGGAAGCCAGCCACTCCGCCAGCGGTATCAAGTATGGTAAGCCGAGTAGACACTGGACGGCCCCAGTTGTGTACTCCGCCGGCCACAACCCGTTTCCCATAGAGCTGCAGATCCGCAAAGTGGATCGGGTGGCGTTCGTCTGGGACGAGTATTGTGACAAAATTCGTCAGTTAGATGCAAAGGTGGGGGACTACAAGCAGGCCACTTACCAAGGCCCACCGGCGGTTGCTAATCCGCAGGCTACTCCGCCCACTGCAGCATCCTGACGGTTTCCCTGTCGAGTTCTTTTGGTTCGACACCAGAAAGAGGGCCAGCAGCGTCTTCTTTTTGCTACTCCGCTCCAACGACCTCGCCATTTGAAAGTTTCTGAAACTGGGTCGAGCTCCCCCTTTGAACATTTTCTGAAAGGGACTCCTCAGAAACTCAGAAAGAGGCCTCGTTGTCGAGCTTTTGTAAGAAAGGCCTTTTGGACCACTCCGCCAGTGGACAGTCGCTGCATTTTGAGTGGCCTAAATTCGAGAGGCTTGCATGTTTCAGTCGTCAGGCGATCCTAGTAGACCCACTCCGCCTCGGATGGAACAGGGCTCTGCTGAGAAGATCACACTTTAGGAGAACCCCTAAAAGACGGTGTTTAAGTTCCCCTCGCCCCCCTATTGGGAAAGCCCTGGGAATACTCGCCCTCACTATGTTGTGTTTGTTTTATTATACTACACCCTCACGAATGTCCCCAGTGATAATCTTCCTAGATGCTAATCTAATATGGCAAGGATTAAAAGGATTCATCTCTCTTGGCTACTCCGCTTGGGATAAAATTAGGCAAACCAATAGAAATTCCCTTACGCATGCTCTAATTGGCAATACAACAACCCCAATTATTTTGCGATTAGACTCCCTTGTCAGCAGACCCCAGACTCATTGTTTCATAAGGTCAAACTCTCTAGAGAGTTCCTCCTTTCTCACAGACCTAAAGTTTCACCTCCAACCCCCCAGAAAAGCCCAAACCAAATACAGCTAATAGACATTCCAGTTCATAGATCTGGTCGCAGATGCGGTAGGTATATGGGACAGGGGCACAAAGTGCACTACCATAAACCACTCCGCCAGTTTTCCGGCACACGCCGCTTACGCCCACCATTGAATTCAGAACGGACGAGTCAGCCCACACCGCCTCCTAGAGGCACGCCGGGCGCTGTTTCTACAGCAGACAAAGAGTGTTTAGCCTCTTCCCCGACCACTCCCCCCCCCTTCTTTAGGACGAGGCACCAGAGCTAGACGCCTTGCGCGGCAGCGATACCGCCAATGGCGACAGCTCTTGAAGGGGACTATATTGCCAACCATGCCGGGCAACACGCTGGCAAGGGAGGGGATGCCCTTGAAAGCAGTCAAAGGCTTTCACCGAAGGAAGTGGAGAACGGCCAAGGTCTTCTAAAGATCGAAAGGGTAAACAGACCACTCCGCCACCCCAACCCATTCCTACCCCACAGCTTCCTTATGGTACTAAGCTGAGAGTAGGAGCACAGAACGTACAGAGCATGGCGGAACAACTCAAGCATCAGGCCGTCCTCCACATCATTAAAGAAAGAGCACTAGATGTTCTTTTCCTCACTGAAACACACGCCACACAATACCATCAATACAAATCCCAACACCACCTTTTCATAGTTAACGGAAACAACAAGGATAAATATGGAGGAGTCACAGCAATTATCCCCCCACGAACGCTACCATTCCTCAAAGAGGTTGTACAACATGGAAGCCGTATCTTACAGGTCACCCTGTCTAGCTCCAGTGGAGACATGCATTTTCTGGGGGTGTACGCACCACACAACAAGCATGATTTGGAAATTGTAAAAACTCCTTTCTGGGAACACCTGAAAAATATCATCGCCAGACTTCCCCGCCCTGAGCCAGTCTTTATAATAGGCGACTTCAATGTCCGCCTCCAAGGCCGACGCCAGGACGAGGTCGATTACCTTGGGCCACATATTTTAGGAAGAGGCCGCAATTATATTTCCGATGAGCCTGGCTCCAACCGTAGACTACTCCTCGACCTACTTAAAGGCGCGGACCTCAAGGACGCCCTCTCCTTCAAACAGCCTAACCTAGTCAAGCAGGTCACTTATCGAGATAAATACCCGCCGCCTAGTGATTGGCTCCAATTCGCAAGCGACCCTCTAGGCTTGGTACAATTCTGGGATAAAATTCAAAACCTGACCCAAAACGAAACCACCAACCTCCACACCGCCTCAATAATAAGGTCCTTCCTTATCACCACATGGCCAGTCCCGCCGCAGCAGCTCCCTCCCATGATAGACCCCCTACGGTTTCAAACGCTAGACCGTTTGCTCACTCGCTCGCAGTGGTTGCCAGCTATCCACACAGTCAAAGCAGTTCATTGTGCTGGATTCCCAAGCGATCATTACTTGCTAGAAACCGCAGTAAAGGTCAAATTAAAGGCTTGCAGAGAAAAGACCCCTCTCCCCCCCAAAATTGACTACTCCGCCATAACACCAGAACAAAAACGAGATTTCAACCTGCACATCCGCTCTTCCTTGAATTGTAAAGTAACCACTCCGCCAATTCTCAACACCTCAGAGTGGAAGGTCTACACTGACGGATCTGGATCCTCGGGACGATGCACATCGGACACTCCAGCGGGATGGGGATTCTGCATTTACCACTCCGCCAGTTACGTTGAAGAAGCTTGTGGCCCAGTAACAACTGACCCCCGCTCATCAATGTATGTAGGTGCCACGGTCGGCAGTAACAACACGGCAGAATTAACAGCACTAATAGAGGCAGCGCTGTACGCTTTATCACAGAAAAACCCCCCCTCATCCGTTACTTTCTACTATGACAGCAAATGGGCAGCAGACACTATTAGAGGACGCTCTAAGCCCAAGCGCCACAAATTATTAGTCAGACAAGCCAGTAACACGCTCAACGCACTTCAATCAGCGACCACCGTAAATTGGAGCTGGGTCAAAGGGCACTCCGGAGATCAAGGTAACCGCACCGCGGACAGACTAGCTGAAAAAGGGAAAACAGAAGCGCAGTACCATGGAGGTCGACACACGCTTCCCTCTATGCTCACCCCCTCCACTCTGCCTCAGCCGGACGACAACATACCAGGAGACGACGTTGATGGGCAGTTCGATGCCCTCTACCACGCAACGAAGCGCGCGCAACAAACCCACTTCCCTACCCTTAGGTACACCCCCTCCAAACCCTGGATTACGGCGGACCTCGCCCAGGAAATTGGAAGAGCTCGGCACAAGCGCATCGCTAACCACCACGACCACGCCGCCTTTTACAAGGAGGTTAAAAAAAAGGCTAGAAAGGCCAAAACAGCATGGCTCAGGGATAACCTCCTCAAGGACACCAACACAGCACACAAGACTATTTGGAAACAGGTCCAAAATTTCAGAAGGGGTTTCCGCGCTAAACACACTAGACTAAAACGCCTCGGCCGACCAGTTCCTTGGACCTCAACCCATAAGGTCTTTAAAGAACACTTAGAAACCCAGCAGTGGGGACCATCCACAGTTTCCTCTGAAGAACTGGAGCTCCTTGATAGCTCCCCCTTAATTGCTAATCCGCCAGCACAAGCCCCAGAACCATTCACCTTAGAAGAAATGTTGACCGCGCTCGCCAAACTAAGAGCAGGTAGAGCGCCTGGACTGGACGGCATCCCCGCAGATTCCTTGCACCAGTTGGACCACACCAATTAGCACAAACTACTCCGCCTTATGAATAACTGCCTCAACCAACGCAAAATCCCTAAGTCATGGAAGCGAGCCCTAGTAGTTAGCATTTACAAAGGTAAAGGAGCTGATTCGGACCCTGCGTCTTACCGACCAATCAGCCTCCTCTCAGCGTACTATAAGCTGTACGCTGCTCTTTTACAAACTAGAATAGCCGCCTCCCATGACAATATAATTCGGGAAACCCAGTATGGATTCAGAGCTAAAAGGGGTACACAACAACCCCTTTTTATTACCCGCAGGCTCCAAGACTACTCCGCCAAAACAGGCCAACCCTTCCAGCTCCTTTTCCTTGACTGGAAGCAGGCCTTCGATAAAGTTGACCACTCCGCCATGATGATCGCTCTTAGGCGAATTGGATTACACAGTCAATACCTCGAAGTAATCCGAGACTTGTATGATTCCCCCTCCTTCTGTACAAAGGGCACACAAGGTGACCTTTCATGGGGTACTCCGCACACTGGCATCCGACAGGGATGCCCACTAAGCCCTTACCTATTTGTAATGGTTATGAGTGTCATGTTCGAGGACGTAGATAGACGGCTTCGCACACAAGGTACTCCGCAAAATTCTTGGTCAGTAGGCAAACCTGTATATGATCTAGAATACGCCGATGACACCATGCTTATTGGCGTTACCCCTACCCAGCTTGAAGACATGCTCTGTTCTGTTCAAGTAGAGGCATCTCTTTATGGGCTCAGCCTAAATTTCGACAAAACCGAGCTACTCCGCCACCCTAACCACCCCGCCACAATCAAATTCGCTAATGGCCGCAACGTACCAGTTACAGAGTCCGTCAAATACCTCGGTTCCCAGGTAACATGGGAAAAACCGACCAAAGCAGCCTTGCAAGCCAGAGCCCAACAAGCGCATGTCTCGTTCCTTAAACTACAACACGTATGGCAAAGCAAACTTCCTTGGAAAGTTAAATCCAGGATCTTCCATTCCTGTATAGTGCCCTCATACCTCCATGGACTCTCCACCCTCACCCTAGAAAAGACCCACTTCAAAACTATCGATGGATGGTACTTCAGATACCTCAGAAGAGCCCTGAAAATCAAATCCTCATATTACTCCAGGATCTCCAATAAGAGAGTTTGGAAATGCGCTGGTAGGCCAATATTGCCATCTCAAACCTTACTGTCCAGTCAATTTAAACTTCTCACCCAATCAATTACCACTCCGCCAGACAAGCCGCAGCACCACGTAGTCTTTTCCCCCGGATATAAGGATAGAATTAAGTTCACTAAGTCCAAATCTCGCGGACACCCCGCAAGGTATTGGTTTGAACTGGTCTCCTCAGAAGCAATACGCTACCTCAACCACCACATAGACCACTCCGCTCCCCCAAGAACGGAAGGCTACAGAAGAGACTTCTTAGGCCTCAAACAGCACCTCAACCTAGACCCCTCCTTCGGTGATCGCCTGACGACTGCGCCAACGCGCGCCCCGACGCTTTTCCCGCTGTATCAAAAGACAGTTGGATGCGCATGGCAAGCATT